TATGTGGGAGTTAAATGACAAACATAGATGTTTCACATTTAGATGGAAATAGTTACATCTCTGTTGTAAAGTAATTAGTGCTGTGGAAGTGTGAACTACTGTACTGCAGGTACGTCCACCTCCTCTCATTGTTTGTACCTAGCCTTCCTTAGAGACTGGCCTTTACATGTATGCATTGGACACAGCCCAGCTTTTTTTTTTTTTAACAAAAACCCTGTCCACTTTACTTCACAAGTAAGGTGGACACAGGTTAGTGTCAGAGTATGTCAGATTGTGTGTGAAGACCAGATATGTTCTTACAGGAAACAAGACCACAGGTACAGTCAGAGTGACGGCCACCAGGACAGCCAGCCTAACACACAGAATCAGAGTGTCCAGGGGATCCACCTTACTGTAGGTATGAAGGAGCTCTGCTTCTGTGTTCTCTGCACACACACACACACAGAACACAACCAACACACACACACACAACACACAACACAACACACCACCACCACACGCACAAATATAGAATCAGTGAGACCTAACTGTCATTAAACTGAGCTTTGTTTTGCAGCTGACTTAAACATATGTTGCCTCACCATAGAAGGTCAGATAGCCAAATATGGCAGTTAAGAAGTACATGATGAACATGCCCAGGATGGAAACATTGCCAATATTCTGCATTCTTCTCTTGGTTGGGCTTTAGGAAAACAAAATTACAGATGTTTTAGCAATACAGCACATGAAATAAAGAGAGGGAAGCGTGGTTATTTCTATAGTTCATTTTCAAAAAAGCTTATACTTAAAGATGATATTGCTATAGTTCCCAAATGTAAAATTAACTGTATTCATTAATTTTTGGACACTTTTGGAACCACTTAAGTGGTTTAGATAATCTGAAGAAACTGTCAGTATTTTTCAACTTTACTGATCTTGTCACCTTTTTCCCAAAGGTCATTATAACTGGTTACTGATGGTGGCCAAAACCCACATAAATCCTTTAACTGTTGATTTGAATGTAAGAATCTAATAATGTGTTCATCTTACTTGCTCAGTTCAGTGTAGATGGGAAGCACTTCAGGGTGACATACAAAAGCAAATGCCAGGATGGGGATGGTATATGCCGTCTGCAAATCAGGCAACAGAGTAACTTTACTTGGTTGTTTTCCAGGAAGCACATGAACTCTACACTACCCTGTGTAATAAGATGCACCCACAAATAGTTCCTGACCATACACGTGTTGAGTGCACACTGCAGTCCTCTGAACAGAGCTCCTTACAAATGAACAGTTCAAATTCAAATTGTGATTTTTGTGTGTTTGCTTGAAACTGAGGTAGTTCATCTCAGACCTCTTGGTTGATGGTGAAGAATTTGATGGTGCATGTGTCTTCTGGGAAGGCTGCTGTGGTCACAGAGTAGTTTCCAAACACTTCCAGAGGGCAAGCAATGTTAAATCTCTTGTAGATGACCTGATGTGACACAAAGACAGAGTCTGAGGTGGCTGAACACCAAAAAGCCGGAAGGAGTCAACCTGGAGACAATGATTGTATAATTTTCTACAAATTAAAGTATTTCTTAGTAAGTAAGAATTCTATAGATAGGGGCTTTCTATTAATTTCAGTTACACATCTGAGCTAAATAAGCAGTAATTGAATTTAGGGGTTGCAGAACATGCTGTAAACACAACACTAAAGTATCATTCCCTTATGAGGTTGTTTTTGTTAACATGTTAACAAACAGCTGGCTATTTACACACCCAGGCGACTACATTCATTTGCAGTTGTGAAAGTCTAATATTCCCTCTCTTCTAGCTCTGTTATTGGTCTCTATCAGAGCTTTTTCTCTGAAAACAGCTGCCTGCTGTGGCCGAAAACAACAATATCAGAGTGGTAAGACAAAAACAGTACAGTTGTAGGATGTAAAATCAAAGCAATCAGCTGAAAGATGAAGACATCTCTGTTAGAGCTGAGGGGAAATGCAGAGTTTGGTGATAATTATCTGTGGGTTTGTCACTATGTGAGACACCTTTGACATTATAGATGGTAAACAGAGTTATTGTTAATGAATACATATTGATAAGTGCAGCGTTAAGGTTCATGGACAGGTTAGACTGTATTTGTCCTGATTTTGGGTTTGGTTTTCTGTTTTTTTGTAATTCCTTTCCTCTTGTGTCTTCTTTTACTTCATGTCCTTGTTTCATTGCTAGTTCGTCTCTAGTCATTTGTAAAGTGTTTAGCCTGTCCCCTCGTGTTTTCTCATTGTGTGGACTATTACTTTAAGTTTATGGATTTTATTTCTGTTTTGGATTACTACATCATCTTAAGTAAGTTTACATTTAGTTTAAATATGGTAATAAAGTCACTCATAGTCACTGCATTATGACAACAGCAACAACATTATTTATTTACATAATAGTGTGTGCATGCAGGGCGTGGCGCAGAGGCAGAGCGGGTCATCCACTAATCAGAAGGTTGTTGGTTTGATCCCCAGCTCCTCCCGCCACATGTCGTATCCTCAAGCAAGATACTGAACCCCAAATTGCTCCCAATGCTGTGCATTGGTGTGTCAGGTCCATTTACCATGTAAATTTAGTTCTTCATTCCAAAATATTGTTGCTGTATTGGATCTTCCCCAATACTACAATTTTGGTATTTTAATTGTTTTTAAATTAAAGGTCCAGTGTGTAACATTTAGGAGGATCTATTGGCAGACATGCAGTATAGACATAATATGTTTTCATTAGTGTAAAACAGAATTCGCCATTTTTATGTATAGAGGAAGCGACTGTGGCTCAGAGGTAAAGCTAATTGGAAGGTTGGTGGTTCGATCTCCCGATTGGTGTATGAATGATTAGTTTCCGTTCCGGTAAGGCACCTTGCGTGTATGAATGTGTGTGAATGGGTCGAGTGTGGCATGTAGTGTACAGCGCATTGAGTGGTCGAAATACTAGAAAGGTGCTATTTAAGTACAGTCCATTTACCATTTAAGGCTGCCATGTTTCTACAGTAGCCCAGAACAGACAAACCAAACACTGGCGGTAAATAAAGCCTTCCGCATTTTTCACATGTTTCGTGAATGCAACCTGCAAGTACACCGCTAGATGCCACCAAATCCTACACACCCACCTTTTGAAAATGTAATAATTTCAGTTTCAAAGTTTGCTAACAACACACACATGACAACCCAAAGTGCGGGTTTATAGTGTTGTAGTCATAGTTGATGACAACCATAGGCACTCAGTATCTAAGTGGTAATTTACTTCCTTATATGTAACAAATTTCTCCAGCATTCCCACCCTGTGCCGTGGCAGTGAAGTTATGCATTGTGACGACACAGACTCACCGCTGAGAGGAAGAAGACCATGCAGGAGAGAGAGAAACCACTGGTATAACCAAGATACCCTGCAGAATGCAAGAAGACAACCCCTCAGACACACCTCAAAAAATACAACTAGGCACTCTAAGTTTGAGTTTATTCTTAAGTTTGAGTTTTTTTTAAATCATATTGAAGAGCAGAACCAATCGTGTGAATTCTGTATTAACTTTAGTTTACATCATACAATACAAGGAAACGGGTTGAGTCCTTTCTAAAGACTTAAAATAATTAATGGTTTTGTGCACAGATTTAAAGCAGTACTAGGGAATTACAAAGCATGACAAGTAAAGGGAAAGTTACGTACCCAGGTGTTTCATCAGTGTTAGTGGGAGGATGACGCAGACAGTGACGATGATGATGAGGTAGTTTCCATTCATGAACCAGTCGCTAGGTGCAGAACAGAGCGACTCACATAAAGAATACATACAAATAGTATAAACTGTATTTTTCAAACTACATTTAGAGTAAAACTGAGGTCAGTTCTGTTGTTAAATGGCAATTTTTCAATTTGTCACAGGGGCACAAAGTCAAATATAGGCTTGTGATCTATTTGCTTTTCATGAACTCATACACTTGAGAGAAGTGGCTGCCATGTCAGTCATTGTTCACATACCTGCCACTGTGTTTTTTTTTTCAGAATTTCTAAGCAATCCTTTGGTTTGTACGGTGTAAACATAAATGAACATGCCATCATCCAAAATGATCATATAGTTACCATCACCATAAATTATGTTGAAATGATCATGGCAGCAAAAAAAGTTGCATTTGCTCCTCATCTTTATTTTGACTCAATACCCTATACACCACCTTGCTGAAGGTAAAGCAATAAGCTAGTTTAGGCAGTCAGCTCAAGTCCACTGCTATATATAGAGGGGCGGCTGCACAGAAAGTTGCAATGCATTTATTGTGAAACAGCTTAGTCAGAGTTATGATTGACACTCTAAAGGGCACCATGTTTTGTCACCTGGAAGGGCACCTTTATAGGTCACTTTATCATGTTTTATCTTCTATTGGAACATTCAAAAGAGCACTACTGCAAAGTTATTTTTAGCATGGGAGCACCAGGGGGCTGCAATTGATTTCCTCCTGTTTGAGTTAAAAACTAGCTAGGCTTGGAGCTGAAAGCCACAGACAGTAAGTCAGAAAGTACTGAGAGACAAACTACCATTCGGGTTTAGTCTTTTCATCTCTTATCTTGGACTGATCTCTGTCATTGACACATACAGATGAAACTGAATTTCATTTTGTTGACTTCAGTATTGTTAGCAGTACTCACTCAGAGCTGGATGTCTGGCCAAGAAAGGCTTGGATGACCAGTGGTAACTCAGATTTTACTATGAACAGGTAGCTGGACATGGCTGCAGGGGAGGAAAAAGAGTGTTTATTAAGTGTACATGGTCACATATATTTACATATTCCATCAAAACAGTGATATTCACCACTGACCTGTATGACATTTTAAATACCATACCTATATACCACACCACTGTCTTACCTCCAATGTTATGTAGTGTTATGATGACAGCTGCTAGAATCTTCCCTGGATGACCAAAAGCTCTCAGGCCAAGTTGCTCATAGGCACGAATACCTGATGAGACCAATAACAAAGAACTATGTTGTAAACTGGCTGTGGACATTTAGACACATACACAGGACTAGCTAAATTGGACTTTATATACAGAAGAAGGGAAGTGAAGAGACACAGAAAGACCTTTTGAAAATGTTGAACTCGAGACTCGAAATTGATTGAAGCCTTACCCACAACTCCAGCACTGCGTAGCAGCAGGTGGACGGAATAACAGGACAGACAGGCGATACATGTCAATAGGATCCTGTAAAAATATTTATAAACATCAACATATATGTATAAATATATTTTTTAGCTTTCTAGCATTTTATAACACAATAGTTTTTGCTTAATAATTGCAAAAATTGCTACCTTTTAATAGCATTTTCAATGTATTTCTATCTGCTATGGTCAAATGTCTACCTCAGCCATCTTAACTTTGTGTACAGGTGGTGGGGGTTTGTAAGTATGGAGGACTAAAAGTGCCAAAATTAA